ATACGAATGCCGAAATGCTACGATTTCACTCTGCCCTGAAAGATTCAGAAATATATTTTTTCAGCTAAGCAATGCACTGCACTATTGTAAAAGCAACCTTCATTAAGCAATAAAAGAGGCAGAAAAAGAGTTGTATACAAAGATCTGTAATCCTGAAAAATCCCTTGACATAAAACACACCGAATACCTCTATTGTTTGGCTCTATTTTGCATAGTCTGGCAAAAGCTGAACCAAACCTCGATTCACTATCAAAATATCACAATTCTTAAACTATTTCACTTCCAGGCCCAGCCTTATTTTAATTTTCCCTTGATGGATATTTCAAAAAATTGGCTAGTGGATGGAAATACAGATTCCAGGGGATGTAATTAGTATGTAAAGCAAAACACAATGGCGGAAAGAGGGCATTCAATTACCTACCTGCCTTAAACAGGATTCTGGAACTAAAGGTTAGTGCTCGCAAGAAAGAATGGTTCGATTGTAATTTTTAGCTTTTTAATAGCCTTGAAATGTGAGGTCAATCTCCTGTTGCGTCAAAATGATTGTTAACCATCTGAATCTTTTTTTTTAATCCTAGAGAACACTTTCTACTTTACTCCATTGTCTGAAAATGATCCACATCATGTTGATGCATTCCAGCTCTCCAAAGACACACTTCAGTGGCATTCCTTGGTTATGTGTGGTAATCTTTACTCTTTACTCAGCAGAGATGAAACATAAACTTGCAATGTTGCATACAAAAATCAAACAGTGCAAGAAACCTACGTAGTCCTTGTAACTAACACAATATAAGGCATCTTCATCTTAAATCAAATTAGAGAGCAAAACATAAACCTTGAGTAAATAGCTATTCCACCATAGCGTCCTTCAGAGTAGCTTCTCTGAAGTCACAGGGAGGAGGGAGCAAGCTTGCTTTCTGCTTCTCTGAAGACTAGGATGCAGAACAATGGCATCAAACTACAAGAAGGAGATTCCATCTGAACATTAGGAAGAACTTCATGACTGCGAGAGCCGTTCAGCAGTGGAACTCTCTCCCCTGGAGTGTGGTGGAGGCTCCTTCCTTGGAAGCTTTTAAACAGAGGCTGGATGGCCATCTGTCAGGGGTGCTTTGAATGCAATATTCCTGCTTCTTGGCAGGGGGTTGGACTGGATGACCCATGAGGTCTCTTCCAACTCTATGATTCTATGATTCTATGCTTGCCATGATGCTGTGTGTTCAATTTTACTTCTGATTGGGGGGGGTGAGTTTGGTTCGGGGGGGCTGAGTCTGAGTGAAAGCGGGTCTACCCTAGCAAACCTTTTGTATCGTTACCCCAATACCCCATGCATATGGGATATATTGAGCATGGTGATCAGATCATGATATTAATAAACATAACCTTTGAGCATAGATCTCCTTAGAGAAAAAAACCTTCCTGCTCTCCTAAACTCCAGAAGCTCTCCACTACCCACCACTGTATTCTAAAAAACCCATACAGATATACCCTTGGGTGTGGTCCAAGCTTGCTGGTTGACCTACATTACCAGCTGCACATAATAACCATCATAAGGTTTTTCTTCAACACACACAATTTGGTCCTGCTATGACTTACGCAACAAATAGCAGTGCCAAATGACTGGCAGTAGTATAATGTGGCTTATGCGGCCCATCAAATGTTGTTAGACTGCAAATCCCATCAGCCTTATTCCCCAGAGACCTAGGTGAGGAATGTTGGGAGTAGCAATTAATATCTGGAGAACCACGCAGTTCTACCAGTGCCATTGAGAAAGAAATCAAAGATAGGAACTGAGAGTGAGGGAAAGACATTTACTGGTCACACTGGTCAAACGTCTATGATTTAGAGCAGGGACCCTCAAACTTTTTAAACAGAGGGCCAGGTCACAGTCCCTCAAACTGTTGGAGAGCCAGATTATAATTTGAAAAAAACATGAATGAATTGCTATGCACACTGCACATATTTGGAGTGAAAAAAACTCTTAAAAACAATACAATAATTCAAATGATGAACAATTTTAACAAATATATAAACTTATTAGTATTTCAATAGGAATTGTTGTTGTTGTTGTTGTGTGCTTTCAAGTCATTTCAGACTTGGGTTGACCCTGAGCGAGGGCCGGGTAAATGACCTTGGAAGGCCGTATCTGGCCCTTAGGCCTTAGTTTGGGGACCCCTGGGCTAGATGGTCCTTGGGAGTCTCTTCCAGCGCTAGGATTCTATATCAGGAGTAGGCAATATCGGATCTAATGGATACACTTTTTCTCTCCCATCCATTATCTCATCCTGACCAAGGCTAACCCTTTTGGGATCCAAACGTTTCCTGTTTTTCCTTCACTTTCTGCCTCCGAAAGAGAAGAGAAAGGGGAGGAGAGGGCTTGGGGAGAAGCGGCCCCCAAGTTAGAAGGTTTGCCCAAGCCTGATCTAGATTTTATGGATAGATACAAAAGAAGTCACAAATATTTGTGCAGCGATGGAACCTCACCTTACAACTTTGTTTCTTGCAAACTTTAAAAATACTTTTTGCCAAAATTTACAGAACCAATCTGTACGTCTGCTTATGGATAGATACTGTGATCTGATGTTTCAGTTAAAGCATATTTCCCAAAACTATACCTCTGGCCCCTTATTATGTCTGCATTGATTTTTGTGCTGATGTGCGCCAAAAGTTGCCCAGCAGAGAGCAAAACTTGATGAGGAATTTCAGTAGAATACAGATGAATTACATAAAATGCAGGAAGGTGCCATTGTGCAAAAAAACAGTATTTTAAGGGGGATAAACACACCGACCTTAAAATATGTTGCACTGAAAATGACTGTTTAACATAGATATAACTTTTCTGAAGCAGTGAGACCAGTCAGGAAATGCCCTCGCTGTACGGAATACAAAATATCCCTGTGATTTTCCAGAGGGGAGCTCTGAAGAAAGACAAAATGTTTTTGCGAGCCTCTAGCAAAATTCACTTGTGCACAGTCTAATCGGTCAATACGTATCATCATTTCCTTTTCCAGTTCTCACAGCAACACTGCATTTTTAACAAAATACACATTTTCAATTGAGGACGACACAACATACATGCTTATGCAGAGTCATTAAGTGTGTTTATATTTTTCAACGGTGAACAGATGATTTAGAGCTCTGGGAAAGGAAAGTGATGGATCAGATGAATCAGTTTTTCAGTTGCTGGGATACATATCTGTTATTTCACCTGCAAAGGTGGGGGAAATTCACTCCATGGCTGAGATCAAACTGTCAAGTGAAAGTAAATGGATCTGGGGGTCTCTGTTTTCTTTGTTCAGAATTACCATGCAATTGATAGATCTAACTTTTAAATACACAGCTTGTGGCAATTTAAGAAAGGCCGTAGAGCAAAGGTATCATTCATTCCAACGGCTTCTTCTTTGGAGGCTTTTAAACAGAGGCTAGATGGCCATCTGTCGGGGTGCTTTGAATGCAATTTTCCTGTTTCTTGGCAGTGGGTTCGACTGGATGGCCCATGAGGTCTCTTTCAGCTCTATGATCACAGGATCAAAATGTGGAAAGCTAACAGAAACTGATCCAGGAAAACACAGCTACAATGATTATACTCGTGGACAACAAGTTAAACATGAGCCAACAATGTGATGTTGCAGCTAAAAAAGCCAATGGGATTTTGGCCTGCATGAATAGAAGTATAGTGTCTAGATCCAGGGAAATCATGCTAACCCCCTATTCTGCCTAGGCCAGACCACACCTGGAATACTGTGTCCAATTCTGGGCACCACAATTGAAGAGAGATATTGACAAGCTGGAATGTGTCCAGAGGAGGGTGATTAAAACGATCAAGGGTCTGCAGAACAAGCCCTATGTGGAGTGGCTTAAAAAGCTGGGTATGTTTAACCTAAAGAAGAGAAGGCTGAGAGGAGACATGTTGAGGGGCATGTATAAATATGTGAGGGAAAGTCATAGAGAGGAGGGAGCAGGCTTGTTTTCTGCTTCCTTGGAGACTAGGACACATAGCAATGGGTTCAAACTACAGGAAAGGAGATTCCACCTGAACATTAGGAAGAACTTCCTGACTGTGAGAGCTGTTTAGCAGTGGAACTCTCTGCCCCGGAGTGTGGTGGAGGTTCCTTCTTTGGCGGCTTTTAAGGAGAGGCTGGATGGCCATCTGTCAGGGGTGTTTTGAATGTGATTTTCCTCCTTCTTGGCAGGGGGGTGGACTGGATGACCCATGAGGTCTCTTCCAACTCTATGATTCTATGAAAACTGCTTCTACCAAGTCTTGACTTGGGGTGTCTGTGTGTGAATATTTACACATTCTACAATAGTGAGTTGCTCATGACTACACCTTTGTAGTGTTGAGTATTTTGTGTAAACCTAGTAATAGCAATCCCAATAAAACTTAGTTTATTTATAGTTTGTAAGCCACTCCGAGTCCCTTGCAGAGATGGTGGCGGGGTATAAATAAAGTTGTATTATTGTTGTTATTGTTGTTTGTAACACAACAAAATGTGGAAAATTGGTGAATACTTCCACAAAGCATTGTTTATGTGCTAGAGCATGGGTCCTCAAACTTTTTAAACAGAGGGCCAGGTCACAGTCCCTCAAACTGGTGGAGGGCCGGACTATAATTTGAAAAAAAAAAACATGAATTCCTATTCACACTGCACATATCTTAACTGCAGTGCAAAAAACACTTAAAACAATATGATAATTAAAATGAAGAACAATTTTAACAAATATAAACTTAATAGTATTTCAGTGGGAAGTGTGCTTTTGGCTGATGAGATAGGATTGTTGTTGTTGTTGTTGTTGTTGTTGTTGTTGTGTGCTTTCAAGTCATTTCAGACATAGGCTGACCCTAAGCAAGGGCCAGGTAAATGGACTAGGCGGGCCGTATCTGGCCCCTGGGCCTTAGTTTGGGGACCCCTGTGCTAGAGAGTTCAAATTAACATCCTGAGTGGGGGAGAAAAAGATACCACACCATTCAAAGGACACAACATACCAATGCAGACTAAACATAAAGTTTTGAAAAGATTTAGTATTATAAATATATCACCTTTGTCAGAAAACACTTCAGTTGAAAAACAAAGTTTTGGCATTTTGGGAATGAAATTGTGCATTTTCTCTTCAAACCAACTGTTTCATACAAACTGAGGTTCTCAGTCTAAGGCACAATGCCATGATTATGACAATTACATTCTTGCCTTCCTGGATTCATGGGGATGAGACTTATTATATTACAATGAAAACAACAATCATTACTGAATTGTCAAAGTTGAATCACAATTGGGTTAAAACATGATTCGTAACTGGAAAACAAGATCTTTTCCCCTTTTCCAAGCTACAGAGTGAAGCAGCATAACTTCCTTTTTTCAAAACTTAATAAAACCCATTGTATGAATCAGAAAAAAAATATATAATGTAGGCGCATACCTAAAGTTTTGTTTTACATAGTTTTGAAGATCAAATTAGGTAGGCGACTTCCCCCATTCTCCATACACTGAGTAAACCGATTTCTGGCGTTTGTCATGACTCTTGCCAGCATAGCAGGCATTATGTTGGCAATTTCTTCCTGGATGTTGGTCTCCAAATGTTGTAGGGTCCTTGGACGCTTCACATAAACATAGAATTTAAAAAAACCCCATAGAAAAAAAATCACAAGGGGCCAAATCTGGAGAGCGGGGCCGGCCACTCCAAATCCGCTCGAAAAGTAGGCCTCAACGGCAAAAGCACTGTTCACTGTTCCAACCCATGATGGCGACTGAACTGTGTCAGGACAAAACTTTATACTCCCGTCTCTCGAACAAGACCTCTAGTGCTCCGCTACATCTTCAACCAACTAAAAAAGGAAGTTATGCTGCCTCACCCTGTATTATCATGCATGTGGCACATTATTTTTAAAAATGCCACAAGACTGTTGAAGTCAATTATATGTGCGCAACTACTGGCTCAAGATTATCAGACAGTTCCATTTGCAAAAAATTGCTAGAAAAAGAGAAGGGTGGAAGAAAGGAAGATTATCTGCACCCGATATTTCGTGGCAGTAGCAATCCAGGAGCAGGCAGCTTGACCTTAAAGCCCATGAGCAAAATCAATAATCTATTAATGATGACTTTTGCCACTGATATCAAAAAGATGTGGCTTGCAAATCCATAGTCACAGCGGTATAACTGTATTCAGGCACTCTGAAAACAAGGAACAAACATAGGTGCAAAGTACCTTCCAAACGAACAAAATCCTTGGCAGAGGAGAGATTGTCCATATTCATTTTTACCCCCAGAAAAAGTATAGTGTGTGTCTACACAAGTTACTTTTGGCCATGACAACTCATAGACATTAAAAATGAAATATATTCTCTCTATAAAAAATTTTAACGGGTATATTAGCAAAGGCATTTGTCCGTAGAGAGGAGAAGAAGGTATTTGTCCATAGATGAAGAACTGGTTGGCACTGGAGACAAAGGTTGTAATGGAGTGTTAGTGTAAACTATCAGTATTAATCAAGGCAACGTGGAAGGGAAATGTAATTTGCCCAAAAAAGAGACAGGAGGAAGTTCCGTATCAGTCAAACTCTGATAATGTACATGGCCTTCGAAATTCTTGCCCACGTTCATGGATCCATTTGTTGGATACTATAAAGAGAAAAAGGGGGAAAAAAAGTGTTTTCATATTGAAACTTACACCCAGCTAAATGAATATATATTAGCTTCTAAAATCAAGCAAAATGATCTGGCCACAGTAGTCCACGTTCTGGTTACATCCCAAATAGATTACTGCAATGCACTCTATGTGGGATTGCCTTTGAAGACTGTTCGGAAACTTCAACTAATCCAATGAGCGGCAGCCAGGTTGCTTACCAGAGCACCATACAGGGAGCATACCAGCCCCCTGTTATGTCAACTCCACTGGCTGTCGGTCCATTTCTGGGCACATTTCAAAGTGCTGGTCTTGGCCTATAAAACCCTATACGGCTCCATCCCAGCTTACTTGCATGAACGTATCTCCCTCTACGTTCCGCCTCGTAGTTTAAGATCCACTGGGGAGGCCCTGCTCTCAGTCTCACCAGATTTGCAAACATGTCTGGTGGGGATGAGGGACAGGGACTTCTCAGTGGTGGCCCCCCGCTTGTGGAACTTGCTACCCAGTGAGATTAGATTGCTGTCCTCCCTCCTTCCCTTTAGGAAAAAACTGAAATCGTGGTTGTGGAACCAGGCCTTTGGCTAGCAGGCGTAACGGCACTTTGGACATTGAACTGGACCATAAGATTGTTATAATAATGGAAACGGCTATATGATTGTATAACTAATGCTATTGTTTTAATCTATTGTGTATTTATGGTTTTATATTGTTGTTTATTGTGATATTTGCAGCATCAAATTGTTGCCAGTGCTAGCCGTACTGAGTTCCCCCTCGGGGATTGAGAAGGCCGGGGTAGAAATGTTGTAAATAAATAATAATAATAAAATAATAAATAAATAAATAAATAAATGTGGGTGCTAGAAATACTATCATACGAAAGCAGACTGACACAAGCTGGGGATCACAACCAGATACAGTGAAGCCCTTGAGCTTTGCTATTCTGCTGCTGAGTATGCATGCCCAATGTGAAACATATTGCACCACATTAAAACAGTGTATGTGGCTCTTAATGAGACATGTCACATTATCACAGGATGTCTACGCCCCACACTGCTGGAGAAATTATACTGTTTAGCCAGTATTGCATCACCTGACATCCATCAGGCAGTAGCAGCCAATAATGAAAGGACCAAGGCATTGGCATCTCCGGCCCATCTTCTGTTCGGATATCAGCCAGCAAGCCAACGCCTTAAATCAAGAAATAGCTTCCTAAGATCTACAGAGATACTTGCAGGAACACCTCAGCAAGTGAGAGTCCAAAAGTGGCAGGTGAAAACCCAGAACCTCAAACAGTGGCTGAGACAGGATGAGAGACTCCCTCCTGGGCATACAGAAAACTGGGCGACTTGGAAGGCAATGAACAGACTGCGCTCTGGCACCACAAAATGCAGAGCCAGCCTTAAGAAATGGGGCCACAAAGTGGAGTCTGTGGCATGTGAGTGAGGAGAAGAGCAAACCACAGACCACTTACTACAATGCGGTCTGAGCCTTGCCACATGCACAGTGGAGGACCTCTTGATAGCCACATCAGAGGTACTCAAAGTGGCCAGCTTCTGGTCAAAGGAAATTTAGTATAATGCCAAGTTTTTAACTTTGTTTGTGGTTTTTCTGTTCATTATAACTGTATTCTCAATTTGTTTCTGACACAATAAAAAGCTTATAAAATGATTGGAATGATAAAAAAAAAATTCACGATAAATTGCTTCAGATCACTATTAGACAATGAAGACCTACAACAGCTAATAATATTGTTTCCTAAGTTAATCAACAGTTGAACTGCATTGTTTAACACTTCTAGTCCACAGCAGCTTGCTAACAGCACCAAACGTGTGTTTAGAATTATTTCATACACATATCCCAATGAGATTATTTTAAGTATCACTCTCAAGTTCCACTTTCAACTGATATTTCTTTGGGGGGGGGGGGTCACATCTTTCACATACACCACATATATTTGCAAAACCTGACAGCCCTGAGAACTTTGTCATATTTTGGGACCTCATACGTACCCCATTTGTTCCCAACCAGTACTGGACAGGCAGCATGCCTTGTGCTATAGTCCCCTTCTCCACTTGGAAAAAGATTGTACCAAAAAACAGCTGTACCCTGTTAAAAATACAAAGCCGTCAATATCCAAAACTCTAGAAACAATGTAGTTAAGGCATAATATGTAGACACAAAAGGGATCACTACTATTTTCTAAGCACTGTCAATTCTCCACATTTACTGGGGTGAGAGGACACCCAAGAAAGTGGAATGAAAAAACCCACATTTTTTTAATCTAAGAAAACACCTTTTTACTGAAATCTCATTGTGGCTCAACTTCATTATGATCAACTTCCACAGAAAAGTGCTGGAGAACCTTGAAATTGCTAGAGATATTATATTAATCAAATTCATAAGACTGTAGGACTACAGAAATATGTTTTGGAGTCACTGGTACTGCTAATGTATGTTCTTTTAGTGGTTCCCCATTTTTATTTTGGATCTAAGCTGGTTGTCATTGACACTACCTGATCCTTGTCATTTGACACTGGGCCCAAAGTGGTTACTTGCCATCTGCACTATACATAAAAGTGCCAGATGTTAAACAGAAACAAGAACAAGAATTTTTGTTCTAACAACCTTTGGAGGTACACGCGAGAGAGATGAGGGGTGAAAAAACTGGTGTCAAAATGTTGAAGCTCAAGGACAGAGCTAGTAGTCCAGAGAAAAGATGCTCCTTGCAATTGGGTCCTTGGAAAATTGGTCAGCTTGGAAGTCCCTGAACAGACTCAGAAGTGGAGTGAGCAGATCAAAAGTCAACCTGGCAAAATGGCATTACCTAAAAGAATTCTCCACCTTGTGCGACTGTGGAGCAGAACAGACAACTCCGCATCTGTATGCTTGTCCGCAATGTCCTGCCTTGTGTACATAGGAAGAATTGTTTGAGGGTACAGACAATGCAGTTGCTGTTGCCCGTTTTTCGTGAGAAGATATTTAGCTGCTTGTGCTCCTTCATTTTTATTAGTTTTATATTAATTTATGTAATGCTTTTGATATGAAATAAATAAATTGGGTCCTAAACTGGCAAGCAAGTAGAAATGAGAGAAATATGAGTATCAATTAATTTATCTCTGTGTGTGACCATACCTTGTGAAGTTTGAGTTGGCCAGTGTAGTCCATAACTTGGTTACATCCAGATTGGACTATTGCAATGCGCTCTATGTGGGGCTGCCCTTGAAGACGGCCCGGAAGCTCCAACTGGTACAACGGGAGGCAGCCAGGCTCCTTACTGGAGCAAACTATAGGGAGCATACAACACCCCTTTTAAAACAGCTTCACTGGCTGCCGATAAGCTGCCGAGCCAAATTCAAGGGGCAGGTTATGACCTATAAAGCCCTAAACGGTTTGGGCCCCGCCTATCTTTGCGATCACATCCCCCACTATGAACCGGCACAAATTTTAAGATCTTCCAGGGAGGCCCTCCTTGCGCTCCGACCACCCTCACAAGTACGGTTGGTGGGGACGAGAGAGGGCCTTCTCGGTGGTGGCCCCCCACCTCTGGAATGCCCTTCCTAGAGAAATAAGACAGGCCCCATCCCTCCCCTCCTTTCGTAAGAGCCTGAAGACCTGGTAGTTTAAACAAACCTTTGAGAGTGACTAGTTCTAGCTCAGCCCCAGATACTGTTGAATATTGCCCTATCTTTTTCTATCAATTACCCAGGTTACTTCCTCCTATTAGGCCCCGGAAATGAACAGCCATAGACTCGACCTAATTTCCCGGGCCCTCTACAAATTGCACTAGCTTCGGCCCGGCCTTTAAATTGCCTTGAACAGGCAGGATTATTTTAAATATAAATGTGCTATTGTGATTTTTTATGCTTATATTGTCTTGTTAATTTTATGTTTATGTTGTTTATTCTGTATGTATTGATGACGTTACTTGGAAATCACTCGGGGAGATAGAGCGGTATATAAATAAAGTTTTGTTCTTGTTGTTGGTTGGCAACAGTACTTTCAAGAAAGGTTCAACTCAGTGTACTGAAGAACTAAAAGTAGAGTAGGGAAAGGATGAGTTATGGTATTAATCATATTGGGTAATTTTCATGTATTTCTGTCAGCTGAACACATCTGTGAGTCACTGAACCCTCTTTCATTTCTTTGTTATTCATTGGAGAAGCATATAATACATCTGAAACTGTGAAACGGATTGCCTCCAGACACCCCAACCTCTAGACTTTGTTGCAGTGTGCATATCTGGAAAGCCTCCTCTATTCACAGGGAAGATTTAGACTATTTCACGCCAGCGTCCCTTTACGATCGAGTATACTGTATTTAAAGGGAAAGAATGGCACAGCAATGAGCAGCTAATGTGCACACATTTCACTTACCTTTCTAGGCCAAACGCTAGCTCCTACTTCTGGAAATACAGTTGCTCCCCCTGCTGACACATCACTCATCTGCAAAGATAAGGTGTGAGACATAAGCGAACCATCTCACATATTATATTTCTGCCATATTTTTAAAAAGCAGGGTTCACTGCAGTCTTCAAAGAAACTGCATTCTCTTTGCCATTGATGTGATGAACAATAAGGAAGATAACATTTCAGAAATGAGAAGTGTGGGTGCTAAATACATGAAATATATCGATATATAGGCAGTCTCTGAGTTACAAACATCCGACTAACAAACAATTCATAATTACAAACAGGGGTGAGACAGCAGGAAGTGAGAGAAATCTACCCCTCGGAAGGGAAATTCACTCCTGAAAGAGTTATTTTCATAGGGAAAAGGTGTCTCCACCGAAGTTTTATTACCAATCTTTGTTTCCGCAAGTCAATATTTTCAAAATCCAATTATCACAGGGACAGAAAGTGAGGGGAAATCTTCTGAACAAGGGCACAGATAGAAAAACAGCACCATTGGGGTGTTAACCCTTCCCTATGCTATCCAAAGCTAGCTAGCTCTCCCTGTCTCTCTATACATACACATAGACACACACATGGCTGGAGTTTCACTTAAAAATGGACCTGTTCTGACTTACATACAAATTCAACTTAAGAACAAACCCACAGAACCTATCTTGTTCATAACTTCATAACTTGGGGAGTGCCTGTAGTCATATAATTAACATTACAACCAAGTAGAATGGTTGATAAATGTTTATATATATGTTTATGTCTCTCTGTAAACATGGTTTTATAGGTTATTGTTATGTATTAGAGGTGTGTGTTGTACCTATTTCTCCCATTTCATTCGTTCTTTTGTTCCTTTTGTTTCGGGCAGGATCATGAAATGGGAACTCTTCCCCCAGAATAACCTTGGAACCAGGCCTGTAGCCAGGATTTTGATTTGGGGAGGGGGAGCTGAGTTTGATTCGGGGGGGGGGGGGGCAGAGGGTCTACCCTAGCAAACCTTTTGTATCGTTACCCCAATACCCCCATGCATATAGGATATATTGAGTATGGTGATCAGATCATGATATGAATAAACATAGCAGTTTAAAGAATGCACCAGTAAGGCCTTCTCGCGGACCACCATCAGAATTTGGGGGGGGGGCTGAAGCCCCCAAGCCCCCCCCCTCCCCGGCTACATGCCTGCTTGGAACGAAGGAAAGTGGGAGTGGGTACCATTTCCTTGCCTTCCTTTTGGTCAATGTGGCACTCCTCATGCGGCCCATGGAGAATTGCCCTCTGACTCCTGCCTGTTGGGCTAACCAGAGGAGAAGAATGCAATCCGCCTCAACTGCTGCCTGCCTCAACTCACCCGCGGTCGCTCGTCTCCTCTGCAGACCAAGAGGAAAGCATCACAGGAGTGGTATCTTTAGCCCTGTCTTTAAACTCAGTTCTCTTCTGCAGACAGAGGGGAAAGTAAAACTTGGTGGGCTAAAAGTGGTAGATGTGCCCTCTATGTGTGACGATTTACACCCCTCTAGTCCTAAAACTGAGGAGAAGGGGAGCCTGGGGAAGCCCAACCATAGTGGCCAATGGGTAAAAAAAAAGTTTCGCCTGCATCTATGGCAAGCATCCTCAGAGGTAGTGAGATCCTCACTACCTCTGAGGATGCTTGCTAGAGATGCAGGCGAAATGTCAGGAGAAAATGCCTCTAGAACATGGCCATATAGCCCAGAAAAACCTACAACAACCCGATCATGAAAGAAATTCCGGGGTTGTGGTAGATAGTTCAATGAAAGTGCAATGACTATGAAAAACGCCAATCCCACATTAGGCATCAGGAAAGGAATGCAAGTTAGAACTGCCAATACCACAAAGCTCTTATACAAATCTATGATGCAACCACACTTGGAATCTATATAAATAAAAATGCAATGTTCATTTGTGGGATTAACATAACTCAAAAACCACTGGAGGAATTGACATCAAATCTGGACACAATACACCTATCAGGCCAACAAGTGACCATCACTCATAAAAACACTGAAAAACACAGTGGAAGAGACTTAAAAAGCCAAATAAAAAATAAAAAATTACAATGCATGTGCAAAACCACATATATATGCAAATAGATCCACATATATCCACATATACACAAATATATACACACACATACAGACATATATACATACACAAAACATATACATCGACTGGGCCACAGAAACCTGTGGGAGGAGACGGCTAGTTTGACATATATTTCTAGTCACTGCCCCTCAAACACAATAACATAAAGTTGGAAAAGGTGTGTAAAAGGATGAACCAAAATGATCCAAGAAGCTGGAGCAATTCCGTGTGATCTAAGTTTATAATTATGGGAATTTGTCTTACTGTATTCCCACAAAATATTATCAATTTACTTTTGAAATCCTCTTAAGTTTCTAAGGGGATTTTGTAGTACCTTAGAGACTAAGTGTGAGAATGAAATTCATAACAAGCTTTCATAGACTAAACCTACTTCCTTAGATGCTGGCAGAGAAAAGCCGATCCTACCAACTTTATTCTTTCAGTCTCTAAGGATTTACAGGATCCTTTTGCATATTGATATTCCAGACTAACAAGGCCATGGCTTGTAAAGCTTTTAAGCCAAAGATAAAGAACAGACTTGCCTTTTTATTGATACATAAGCCACCCTGGAAATCTTTAGATTTTAGTATAAATGCTGTAAATGCATAGACACATATATCTTGTTTTCTCCTGCCCTGGAGACTAGGACTTGGAGCAATGGCTTCAAATTACAGAACAGGAGATGCCACCTGAACATTAAGAAGAACTTCCTAACTGTGAGAGCCGTTCAGCAGTGGAACTCTCTGCCATGTAATGTGGTGGAGGCTCCTTCTTTGGAAGCTTTTAAACAGAGGCTGAATGACCATCTGTCAGGAGTGCTTTGAGTGAGATTTTCCTGCTTCTTGACAAGGGGTTGGACTGGACGGCCCATGAGGTCTCTTCCAACTCTATAATTCTATGATCTGAAATTTTACAGTGCCATAATGCAAACAAACACGAGAAAGTTCACTGCACTTTTTCAAGAACTCTAATTGTCTCTTAGGCTGAAATGCCGCTGAAAATACAATTTTGTAATTAAAGCATCTTACTTACATAGAATAGCCACGTAGCAATTCTGTTGCCCGTACCCAGTTCTTTAAAGGCATCTGGTTCATCTTTCTGTGTTCAAAAATAAACATGATTTTACTGTATAAGCGAAACAACACTGGCACAAGAGCCCTAGCATTAGGACATTTGTAAGCAATTTTTCCCCAATTGGATAGATAGGAAATTAGTAGAAATAATCTGAAACAAAGACTTTCTGTATATATTTCAGATTTCAATATTAATGTCAAAAATATGTAGTATTATTTTACATAGGATTTGTGCTACATTAGAACAGTAAAGACAAATATCAGGCGCACAGCATGATATTTTACACCCCCTCAACGTTTTCGGCTAATGGAGTTCGTGCCCTCCAAATAGGATGTTCTGTCCCACAACTCTGTGTGTTTTATAAGTTCCATTTAAACATCCTGCTGCTATTTTATCTCATCATAGTCTGTTAATTGTTTTTTATTCGGAATATGTGGCCTGCCCATTGTCATCTCTATTGTGATTGTGTCTATTGGAATTTTTATATTATTATTATTATTATTATTATTATTATTATTATTATATTATTATTATTTTTAATGTCATTTTGATAATGTTGTTGTCCGTTGTATATGCTTTGATTTTATTGCTGTATTATGTTGTCCGGGCTTGGCCCCATGTAAGCCACTCCGAGTCCCCATCGGGGAGATGGTGGCGGGGTAGAAATAAAGTTTATTATTATTATTATATCACTTAAGTTTCAGAAATTACACGAATATTTTACAAATTGTTTAATTCACAAGGTGTGCTTCTGTGATCCTGATGACTGTCCAAACTTACAGGGGATACATTTCAATGGGATGTTATATTTATTCATATGTGTCATCTATTAGAATGTGCTATAGCTGCAAAATACTCATACTTTCCAAGGAGAGAATCTGCAGGCACAAAGGAAATGAGATCAAAGATCTATTCTAGTAACTTATTTTTAGTTCTCTTAACTTTTTTTTACTTCTTTCAATTAACTCGATTACTTTTATTCAAGCTGCCAACTATTACTGGGATACAGCAAGTCCTTGTATCCCCTGAGGTTTAGTTCCGGAATCACTATAGATACTAAAATTGGTGGATCCTATTACATACAAGATCGATGCTTTTGAGCTGTGGTGTTGGAGGAAAGTTCTGAGAGTGCCTTGGACTGCGAGAAGATCCAACCAGTCCATACTTCAGGAAATAAAGCCCGACTGCTCATTGGAGGGAAGGATATTAGAAGCAAAGATGAAGTACTTTGGCCACATCATGAGAAGACAGGAAAGCTTAGAGAAGACAATTATGCTGGGGAAAGTGGAAGGCAAAAGGAAGAGGGGCCAACCAAGGGCAAGATTGATGGATGGCATCCTTGAAGTGACTGGACTGACCTTGAAGGAGCTGGGGGTGGTGACGGCCGACAGGGAGCTCTGGCGTGGGCTGGTCCATGAGGTCACGAAGAGTCGGAGACGACTGAACGAATGAACAACAACATTACATACAATGGCATAGTAAAATTGGGTCTCTTATATAAAATGGCAAAATTAAGATTTGATTTTTGGATTATTTATAAAAAATATTTTCAAAATGTGAATGGTTGAATCAACTGTCTCAGAATCTGTGAATTGGAAGGACCAACTGTATATGAAATGAGCTAGCTGGGGTTAAGCTCTATTGTATACAATGACATTCTATAATTGTGTCCTTTATATAAAACTAGCTTGGGTACCCAACGTCACCCGAGTTAGTTGAAAAAGTCAATTTTAAAAAATTGTACAAAATGCATAAGGTTGTGGATGAACTACAACTGATATCATGCCAGGTTAACCCAGATAAACTCTATCAGTACTTAAAGGCCCATCATCGGTGGAGGTCACATTTTCTCTGGTTGTGGGTGAATTACAACTTCCAGAAAGGAAGGTCAGTTCCTCTCAAACGCCTCCAATAATCAAATTTTGGTATATCAGGTATGTGTGCCAAGTTTGGTCTTACCTATAAAGCCCTGAATGGTTTGGGACCTGCCTACCTGCATGACCGCATTTCTGTGTACGAACCCATGTGATCTCTTCGATCATCTGGAGTGGCCCTGCTCTCGCTCCCGCCCCCTTCGCAGGCGTGATTGGTGGGGATGAGGGAAAGGGCCTTCTCTGTGGTGACCCCCTGACTCTGGAACTTACTTCCTAAGGATATCAGGCAAGCCCCCACATTGGAGCCTGAAAACGTGGCTGTTCCAGTGTGCCTTCCCTGAATAAGGAAATAATCCCCAGCAAAATGTCCTCAGAAGTACTTTAACTACTCGTTGGGTTGCTCTCCCTTCATTTCTTTTAAAACCCTCCTACCAGATACATCCTACCTCTGTTCATGCCTAGCGTTTATTTATTTTTTAAATTTTAAACTATTACATTTGGCCCGACCATAGGTTTTTAAAATCCTTGCGTGTTATTGTTTATATGTGATTTATATTACTTGTATTGTCTTTGCTTATTGCTTTTTGTTTTATTGATGTGTTGTCGGGCTTGGCCTCATGTAAGCCGCTCCGAGTCCCTTGAGGAGATGGTGGCGGGGTATAAATAAATTTATTATTATTATTATTATTATTATTATTATTATTATTATTAGATCCATCTGTGTTTGGGTTCACAGTGCTCTCTGGATGTAGGAGAACTACAACTCCCCCAAAACAAGGTGAATTTTCCCCAAAGACCTCCATTATTTTTTGCTCGTCATGGGGGTTCTGTGAGCCCAGTTTGGTCCAATTCCATCTTTGGTGGAGTTCAAAGTGCTCATTGATTGCAGGTGAACAATACATCCCAGTATCTACAACTTGTATAAATCATGGTGAATTCTCCCCAAACCTCGCTAGTTGCTGATCAATTCCTCTGTTTACCGTGTGCCATAGAAAAGAAAAGGAAAGGGTTAAGGGAGAAGCAGTGGGCGGGGTCATGCAAAGTCCACACCAATGGGGAGAGTCAGAAACACTGGGATGTCTGTGGTGGAGGAAACACATTAAACCTATGATGAAATCATCCCCGCATGAAAGCCTTCACTTGGCTGGTGGGCAGTGTTGTGTTTGTGGAGGACATTGGCGGGCTCTTGTACATGTTCATGATGCTTGCTATAATCTGCAATGTCATTGGAAGGAGGGCCATTGGTGTCTCTTGAGTAGTGGGAGCTATAGCTATCTAAGTGGGAACATGTCTGTATAAGTGGACACCCCAGCCACACACACACACACACATACATATTTTCTAGGCCTGGGTAACAACGCAAAAATTTGTTTCTAAAATCGATTTGTATTTGGGGGGTTTTTGCGTTTCGATATTTAAAATAATTACAAAATTTTCCTTTGAAAAAGTTCAGTATTTACGAAATTTCGTTAATTTCGTTTTTAGAATATTTTTTGAATTTTTTTGAAATATTTATTTATAAATATTTTTTGAAATATTTAAAAATGGAAAATTAACAATGCTTGCCCTGTTGTGGAGCGAACACAGCCACAGGACAGGGACAAACTCACACACACAGGCACACAAGGGTCTTTTCTTTTTTTAGAATATTTTTTGATTTTTTTAAGAATAAAAGAAAGATATTTTTCAGAAATATTTAAAAATGGAAAATTAACAATGCTTGCCCTTTTGTGGAGCGAACACAGCCACAGGACAGGGACAAACTCACACACACAGGCACACAAGGGTCTTTTCTTTTTTTTAGAATATTTTTTGAATTTTTGAAGAATAAAAGAAAGATATTTTTCAGAAATATTTAAAAATGGAAAATTAACAATGCTTGCCCTGTTGTGGAGCGAACACAGCCACAGGACAGGGACAAACTCACACACACAGGCACACAAGGGTCTTTTCTTTTTTTAGAATATTTTTTGAATTTTTTTAAGAATAAAAGAAAAAGATATTTTTCAGAAATATTTAAAAATGGAAAATTAACAAAATGCTTGCCCTACCCTGTTGTGGGGCGAAAACAGGGCAAAGCCTCCCCGCTGCTCCCAGCAATGAATGAATGAATGAATGCAAGCACAAGCAATGAATGAATGAATGAATGAATGCAAGCAAGCAGCCAAGAGCCAACCATCAAGCCTCCCTCCCGCACCTCCCGTCTCCTTCGCAATGAGCAATGTGGCCACGCGGAGCCGCTTTTAAAGGGCAGCCCGCCCAATAACAATGAGCCACGGTGCTTGGGAGCGCCGGATTGGCTCCTGGCGCACCCAGCATCCTCCATCCCTAAAACGTCATTTCCGAAACGGGCGGAAGCCCGTAAAAAAGATGGAGGATGCCGTTTCGATATTTAAAAACACTTCCGGGTTTGAAAATATGTTTTGTAATCGTTTTGTAATTGCTAAAATTAACGAATATTTAACGAATTACAAAATTAACGAACGAAACCACCCAGGCCTAATATTTTCACTTTTATTATATCCATAAGTAGATGGCAAAATCAAGTTGTGCTTTTTGGATTGAATGGGATCCATGGATTGAGAGGGCCAATTGTATATGAAATTGAATTAGATATGAACATTGCATAAATTATTGCTGATTTAAAGTCTGAGGAAGATATTCCCATTCTAATATTCAAAGGTCAGCACATCCATAACTCCTCGAGAAATAGGACAGCAGTAGTAGTATTTCTCAGAGAGAATATGAAGAATTGGAAGTCATAATTAAGTACAGGGAGGGGTTTTCACTACAAATCCTTATTGCTATTACTATAATAATTTTAAATTTGACATGATAAGAGAGATCTGGACAAAAATTAAATGTATGTCTTTCTTTTCTTTTATTGTTGCAGAATTAGTTGCTGGAGGGAAAGGATACCGAGGAAGGGAACTGTTATACTTTACAATTTGATTATCTGGCTTTGGATCTATACACAATAGTTGTCTAATGTTTACGTATGTTGTTTAATTTTTTTAAATGTTGTTTCATTGCTTTTAATTGTTTTTGTTGTTGTCAAGGCATGGAATAATGCCAATTTATGTAAACCGCCTGAGTCCCCTTCGGTGTGAGAAGAACGGGTTATAAATGTCGTAAATTAATAATTAATTTTAATAAACAGAATATTACAAAAATAACGAATAAAAACCTGCTACTGCTCAAGTCTTTTCTTGAGAAACTGTCTCCTAAGTCTAAAAGTTATTCAAAGAGAACCTGGCAACAAGGAAGTGTATCCCGAACAACTACAATTTAGGTCAACCAAAGGTTTAAAATATACTTGGCTGCTTGAACCATCTATGCCAATAAAAACAAGATTGTCCCCATCCTTACAATTAGAACAGGGCCATTTCCATGCTATTAAACTCTAGTTACTTTCACATGTATAATTGGACTTTCCTATCCATAGATTTTGTATTCACAGATTCAACCATCCACACCTGAAAATACTCCTAAAAAATTCAAAAAACAAACCTTGGGTTTGTCATTTATATAAGGAATACCATTTATACCGGGCTTAGCACAGCAGGTTAAACCACCAAGCTGCAGAAAATCCTGCTGACTGAAAGGTTGGAAGTTCAAGCCCAGGTCGGGGTGAGCACCCACTGTCAGCCCCAGCTCCCTGCCAATACCATTTTACCGGGCTTAGCACAGCAGGTTAAACCACCAAGCCGCAGAAAATCCTGCTGATTGAAAGGTTGGAAATTCAAGCTTAGGTTGGGGTGAGCACCCACTGTCAGCCCCAGCTCCCTGCCGATACCATTTTACCGGGCTTAGCACAGCAGGTTAAACCACCAAGCCACAGAAAATCCTGCTGATTGAAAGGTTGGAAATTCAAGCTCAGGTTGGGGTGAGCACCCACTGTCAGCCCCAGCTCCCTGCCGATCTAGCAGATCGAAAGCAGAAATGTGAGTAGATAAATAGATACTGCTTTAAGTGGGGTGGTAATAAAAGGCACCCATAAGGACATGCCAGCGATTTGATCGGGAGGATGTCTAAGGACAACAAAGCTCCTTGGAATGGAAGATGGAGCGACAGCACACACAAACATACACACCCCATGACACAGTCTCCAGATGCTGGACATGGAAAAGATGGGAAAAGATGGCCTTTGTATTGTCTGTCCTTGCTAATTGTATAACGGTATTGAATGTCTGCCATATATGTGCAATCCGCCCTGAGTTCCCTGTCATTATGTTTGGCCCTGAGTTCCCTTGGAGAAATAGGGCAGAATATAAATAAAGTACATTACTACTACATTATATATGCTGGAAGTTAAGAATCCCTAGATTTTGGTATTCATGAAAGGTCCTATAATCAAACCTCAGCGGATATCAAGGATACTATACATTCTTTGTAGGTTTCTAGAGCTCCTTTCGGTGATGCGACTCAATAGAGAATTATCTTGCAGCCCATTTCCAAGCCGAATTCAAAATGCTGATTTTAATGTTTAAAACTCTAAATGGCTTGACACCAGGTTACCTAAAGGACTGCCTCTTTCCAAGCATACCTATCCAAATCTTAAGGCCACTTATAAAAGTTTTCATTTTTTGCTCTACAGATCTTATGATATTTTCAAAGTTTTGAGATATCAGATGTTTCAGATGCTTTTTAAAACTCTTGCTGTATTTAGATTTTATAGTTGTTGAGAATAGCAACCTTCTCAAGCCTCCACTATTTATTTATTTGTTATGTATATAAAGTAAGGTCCGTTTTGTTGAAGACACTAGTAGTTCGCGCACATACTGCAACGAGCGCGTGTCGTTGTACCGGCATGCCTCGGGAACAACTGTGCTCAGTTTCCGCTCTGTAGCTAACCTGTACGGTTCTGTTCTGTGCTTTAAAAATGTTTAAGACTATCAACTCACCCTCCGCATGTGAGGTTCGCTCAGTGATACGGTTTTTGTCAGCAAGGAACCTGCCTGCTGCAGAAATTCATCGACAGATTTGTGAAGTGTACGGTGATACTGTTATGAGTGAAAGCAAAGTGCGTAAGTGGGTACGACAATTCAAAGATGGCCGTGACAACGTCCATGATGAGGACCGCTCCGGTCGCCCTTCTTTGATTAGAGTGAACTCTTGGTTATCGGAGCAGGTGGCAAGTTTTTATGAAGAGGGTATTTTAAAATTGGTTCAGAGGTATGGTAAGTGTTTGAACAAACTTGGCAACTATGTCAAAAAATAGAGTGAAGTATGTACTTTCTGAAAATAAACTTACTTTTTTGAAATAAACGTTCGTTGTGTACTTATGTTCAAATGGACCTTACTTAAAAAATACCCCTTGTAATTCAGATTGCTTACTGTTTTGTATATGTGTGTATTGGTATGCAATTTTACCTTTAACCTTTTGTTGTGGGAGGGGCTGCTGACCATGTGATCAGGTCTGGGCTTGTCCAGCACTCAGACTCCATTTTAGACCTATATGTCTTTAGACTTCAGTATGAACTGTATGTTTGGAGACTTCGATGTAGAAGTATGCTTTAGACTTCAGCAAGAGCAGTATGCTTAAAGACTCCATTGGACTTTCAGACTAGGCAGAGACTCTATTAGGGAGAGAGCCTTCTCCTCTGTAGCCCCCCGACTCTGGAACTCATTTCCCAGAGAGATTAGGAAAGCCCCTATGTTAGAAACCTTTAAAAAGAGTCTCAAGACCTGGCTCTGCTGTTACACTTTCGGAGAGTAGCCACATAATTTTATGCTATTGCTCCCTCAACGTTCTTGTCCTCCCCAAGTATGAAGGTTTGTTTATTTTCCTGTCTCTCTCTGAGTTTTCCCTTACAATTAGTTCTGCCCCCTTATCTCACCTGGAGTTTTTAAATCACTTTATGTACATGCGGCCCACTCTCTGTCATTATGTTTGGTTTTTATACTCTGTGTATATTGTTTTATATGTTTTGATGTGTTACACTTTAATGTTATGTTGTTTATTTTACTGCAATGTGTATTTTTATATTGAAGTTGTTGTTCAGGCTTGGCCCCATGTAAGCCGCTCCGAGTCCCCATTGGGGAGATGGTGGCGGGGTATAAATAAAGATTATTATTATTATTATTATTATTATTATTATTATTATTACTACTAGACTCTCAGAACAGAGGGATGCTTTGAACTATGGACTGTTGGTTATAAGAAATCATGCCCTGTGTTATCCACACAGAGAAACTACTTCAAATCCTGGACTGATATGCAAAGTACCTGTATGCTGAATCCATGAAGTTTGTGAGTAAACCAACTATGTTACTTTTAAAGAAGTCTACTTATTTTTGTCTCTTGAGAGCATGATTTAAAGGCAAATATATTTTAAGAGAGAGTAGATGTTTTAGGACAACTAAAAGAACACTTCTGAAAGTGCTATTTATGTGTGTGTGTTCTGTGCATTGGCATAACTCTGTTCCTAACAGTTCAAAGACGCACCTAGGTACATCAGTTTAACAGCAGATGCCTTGCATGAATGTCATTTTCCCAAAATCAGTTTTATCCTATGCATTTGTTCTTTGTTATTGCAAACTGTCACAAGAATCCTTGTTAGTGGGCCACATACAAATGTCAGTAAATATACAGAGCAATGTTATTTTGACATACAATGATCTTTTAAGTGGGTAGCTTGGAGGAAATGCCAATTTAACATGGTGGGAATTAATGTATGGAATTTCACAGACATGCACAGGTTAGAGCTGCAAAAGCATTGTTTCAGAAATGAAAATCGTGCATATAAACACACTCTATTAATTTGCAACTCATATTTTTAAAGTAGGAAAGATGAATCTTAAACTACTACATGGATGACCTGGTTCAAGGAAAAAAAACCTGTTAATTGAAAGAATTACTTAACATACACAAGCCCCATAAACCACCATCTGAATTGATCAGTCTTATCTGCAGCCTTCAATAAAGTGACTTAAAATGTAAGCGGATATTTTGAGATAGCAATGCCTTCAAATACTTTTAAGATTATTCAGTTACTTTGTTCTGTGCAATAACTTAAAATTGAGGTGTAACATTTTTATTGAATATTGCCTTCCCAACTTTGGATTAAAAAACATAAAATAGCCTCTTATTTCTACAGATGTTGCTGTTGCTGTTGCCATGGTATAAGGTAATTTCAATACTACTTTAAAAGTCCCAGATCATTTCTCCCAAAGGTGTGTCTATAAAGTGCCCCCCTCAAACTATTCTTTCACTTGATTGCATTCCTCTTTAACTTTGTTGATACCATTTCTGGTTGCTCTTTCTCTTTTTATCGTTCACATGGTGGTTTAGGAGACTTGATTCATTCAAAAAGATTAGAAGACTTGACAGGTCTGAATTTCACACAGACAGTAAACGTTTGTGCCGCAGGCTTTGAAAAAAGCCCAGGCTTTGGAAGACTTTTGTCCACACATCTCTTTACTTGCCCGAGCAAAGTCATAGTGGGGCTCATACTGTCCTCCCACTCCATAATTTGCTACCTGGAAGAAAGAAATACAGTACATTGTGAAGCACAAAAGCAAAGCAGAGAGAGACTTACCCTTCCAAAATCAAAATGAGGCTCATACTGGCCTCCTACGCCGTAGTTGGCTACCTATAGCAGAGGAAGCACAAATATCCAATCAACCACTCATGAGGAGACAAGACATATCTGCTTCATACGTAGAGTGGATTCCCCCCCTAAGAGTCTTCAGTCTTCATATGTCACCATCCTCACTAGTGTCAAATAAAGGACATTACTGAACCTTGTTCTCTTTGAGAGCATCACAGATTTGAGTGTAATGTTCATAACAATGTTCAGGTTTAACAAATGGTTTAACACATAGAATTCCAGTTGCCCCTACATTATTATTGTTGTTGTTGTTTGTTTGTTGCATTGTTGAAGGCTTTCATGGCCAGAATCAGTGGGTTGCTGTGAGTTTTTCAGGCTGTATGGCCATATTTTGGCCCTGCCTATCTTCACGATTGCATCTGACTGGATTACTGCAATGCACTCTACATGGGGCTACCCTTGAAGATGGCCTGAAAATTACAACTTGTTCAACGTGCAGCAGCCAGATTAATAACGGGCGAATTACAGAGAAAGGTCAACTCCCCTATTTAAGGAGCTTCACTGGCTGTCGTTTGTCTTCCGGTCCCAATTCAAGGTGCAGGTTATCACCTACAAAGCCCTAAATGGTTTGGGACCTGTCTACCTTCGAGACTGGATCTCTTTTCTCCCTTGCCATTATCACAGGCTCATCTTGTAAACACAAGAGAGAGAGCCTTCTCCTCTGTGGCCCCCATCTGGAACTTATTGCCCGGTGAGATTAGGAAGGCCCCCATCTTAGAAACTTTCAAGAGGGATCTCAAAACCTGGCTTTTTCGATGCACTTTTGGAGAGTAGCCATATTATCATACACAGTTGCTCCCTCTCAACGGTCTTTGTCCCCAGAGTGTATTCCCCACCTGTATGAAGGTGGGGAATATGTAGGTTTTCTGTAAACTGTGTGGCCCAATTGTAGGTTTGGTTTGTGGATTGCTTGCTAATTGCAACATTCACACTTGCTTTAAACAGACAAAGGCTCTTTTTCCCACCCTGGACATTCCACTGGAGATGCCAGCCACTGATGCAGGTGAAATGTCAGGAGGGAATGCTGCTGGAACATGGCCATACAGCTCGAAAAACTCACAACAACCCGTTGTTGTTGTTGTTGCAACCCATTATTATTATTGGTGGTGGTGGTGGTGGTCTTGTTGTTGTTGTTGTTGTTATTGTTATTATTATTATTATTATTATTATTATTAGAAACACAACAAGACGAGTCCGCAGCAGACACTCTGCTGGCTGTTGTATTGGATCACACGTCAGACAGTTCCCAAGTGTCTAGGACTGTGTGATGTATCAGCGAATAATGTGTGCAGATCCCAGTAAGGTGGCCTTCTGCAGCTTATTATTATTATTATTATTATTATTATTATTATTATTATTGGCCCACCTCTCCTTACGGCTCAAGGTGGGGCACAGCATAAATAAAATACATCATCATAATATCTGTGAATCTATAGTATTTGAACACCTAATACGACAGATACACTTATATCACTTATTAAAATTTTACTGTTTCCTTCATTTGCTTCAATCCATTCATCCCTAATTAGAAAATCTGAATTGGAATTTCTTTTCAAACATGTCTAACTGCTGTGTTAAGTAATAGCACAAACAGAATTCCACATCTAAGCACCTGTAAAGTGAGCTCTGACAAAGTTTGTCTTTGTCTTTCATTTTAATTAAGATGAGAGATGATTTTAGAGCATTTAGATTTTAAAGATTTATCCTATGTATTAGTTCTTTTGTGTTGCAAACTGTCACAAGAACTGGGTTGTTGTGAATTTTCTGGGCTGTATGGCCATGTTCCAAAACCATCTTGTCCTGACGTCTCACCCACATCTATGGCAGGTATCCCCAGAGGTTGTGTGGGTGAAATGTCAGGAGAGAATGCTTCTGGAACATGGCTACACAGCCTGGAAAACTCACAGCAACCCAGCGATTCTGGCCATGAAAGCATTCAACAACACATTGTCACAGGAACCTTTGTTAGTAGGTCACATAAAACATCAATAAACAAAGAGAGCAATGTTATATTGACATATAGTGACTCCCTTATGTTTTTGACACAACCAGCTATATAAAAAAGCAAAACCGAAGATAGCCTGAACTGAGATGCTTGCCATTTTTACTTTTCAAACTGCCCATTTTATAAATTAAAAATGTAAATTACTCTGAGATTAGCGTCATACGTCCATGACGGAAGATTCTCAATAATCAAAACGTGTTGACTGATCAAGAATATATTCAAAACATATTCTCAGACTAAACATTGGTACAGATTGGCTTATATTTATATTTACATATATTAGCTTACCTGGAGCTCTTCTGCCGTGGAAACGTCCAGTCCTGTTAGATCCTGTATTCTTGCATTAATACGCGCCACTATGGGATTCTCGTATCCAGACAGCCAGGCACTAAGGTGTGAAATGATATGTTATTATTGATCTGAGAAGTTATATATGAAGACAGATAACAAGTCACATATAATTATATGAAAAAGTCTATAAGAAAAGGCTTAGCCTAAATGATAACACTGAGGGCCCTTCCACACAGCCATATAACCCAGAATATCAAGGCAGGAAATGCCACAGTATCTGCTTTGAACTGGGTTATCTCAATCCACACTGCCATATATTCCAGTTCAAAGCAGAAAACGTGGGATTTCCCACCTTGATATTCTGATTATATGGCTTTGTGGAAGGGCCCTGAGTCTCATTTAGGCTAACCATTTGCCTATAGACTTTTTCATATAATTTTAAGTAACTTGTATCGCTTATTGTAAGGTATCAATTAATACTTTTGCAACAATGATGAATTCTTTTGCAATAATGCAATCTCCTTCAACTGGCACACATCTACAAAGGACTTAGGTGGTGTAAGTGCTTTGTGAACTTGAGTAGACATTGAGAGAATCATACGCACACAGCATTGCAACAACACAAAATGCTTCATTTTGGGTCAGACTTAAGTGCAAACAATTACTGCAATAATTATATACAAATAACTGTATACAATTGCAATAGTAACTTTCTGCATTGGGTGTCTGGCACAGTCCTGGTGATAAGTGTGAATGATGTGAAAACCTGGTTATAGTCATATCAAGGAAAATATGTTGACCTATGTTAGGTCGGGTTGGAGAATTGTATACTATATTATGATTCTAGTTTAACCGATACGGATCCATCTTATGGAATTCTGGGATTTGGAGTCTAGTGAGCCACTAAAGCATCACTTATTCATTTCCTTCTCTGTTAATTCCCACTCCTCCTGTCAAAGCAACAACCTGGCTCTCTTGTTTTTCTTATATGTGTATCACAGGAGTATACTTGTACCTGGATACATATCTACATCTGTGAAAAAAAATAAGGTCTTCTCAGAATCCCCCTTTCAGAACTAAATAGTTATATTGTTATGCCACTGTTGTTTTATTTCACTTGTTGCTGTTTTTATGGATTTTAAATACGTTATTTTAACTATGTCAATTGGGTTTGTCCCCATGTAAGTCGTCCCGAGTCCCTTTGGGGAGATGGAGGCGAGATACAAAAATAAAGTTGTTGTTGTTGTTGTTGTAGTCTGGTAATTTCAGTAAGCTGCTAATGGTTGCACCGGGACTGTGGCACAGCTGGCTGGGTGTCATCTGCATTAAGATCACCACTGACAGAAAGGTCATGAATTTGAAGCCAGCCCAGGTCAGAGTGAGCTTCCAACCCAATTTGTGTAGCTTGCTGTCGACCTTTGCAGCCCAAGACAGTTGCATCTGTCAAGTAAGACAGTTGCATCTGTCAAGCCAGCATGAGACTTTAAGTCCGGAAATTGAGCGCTCTGTGTCTCCTGCAGTTAATGAAAGCAAAGGCCACATTCCAGAGAGGGGCCCATAGAAGTCTTTCTCTAGGCAAGCTAGTTCAGAAGATGAAATGCCAGATGGAGAGGTTAAGGAGCTGATAAGGAGGTGGCTCCGTTTTCGCACCAGGATGGTGGCACAACTGGCTGGGAGTCAGCTGCATTAAGATCACTACTGACCGAAAGGTCATGAGTTCAAAGCCAGCCCTGGTCAGAGTGAGCTTCCGACCAATTTATGTAGCTTGCTGTCGACCTTTGCAGCCTGAAAGACAGTTGCATCTGTCAAGTAGGAAATGTAGGTACCGCTTATGCGGGGAGGCTAATTTAACTAATTTACGAGGCCATAAAAATCTCCAGCAAGCATGCAAAGAATGAGGAAGTACTTCATCAGTGCCACAAATGGACGGTGAAGTGACAGCTCCCCTGGTGGCCAGAATGCCCTCATCAAAAAAGCTGGAATGTTAAATATCCTCTGTGTGTCTGTCTATATATGTTGTGTGTTTATGGCATTGAATGTTTGCTATGTATGTGTACATTGTAATCCACCCTGAGTCCCCTGCGGGGTGAGAAGGGTGGAATAGAAATACTGTAAATAAATAAATAAATTGTTAACAAATATGTTATTTTTAACTATATTGATTGGGTTTGTCCCCATGTAAGCCGCCCCGAGTCCCTTTGGGGAGATGGAGGCGGGATACAAAAATAAAGTTGTTGTTGTATTCTATGCTAATTTCAGTAAGCTACTAAGTTATTAACGAGCACACTCGTTTGTTCAGAACTCTATTTCCTCCCATATATACGTGTCCTGGGACGTGGGATCTGTACATCCAAGCACACGTATACACTCAAATTTAACAGAGCTTACAAGTGGCCGTTTTAATAGTACATATTTCACTCACAAGATGAAATAATGGAATAACAGGCTAGCATGCTTTAAAACAGCCACTCCCTTGTTAGAACCAAGTGTCCAGAAACAACTTCAATTTAAATGGGGGAAAAATAACACAATAATAGTTATTCCAGACCTAAAACTGGAATGCCTGCAAGCTGTTTTGCCTCTTTTCCTGACCAGCTCTTACACTTTCTGACACAAGAAAATTTTGAAGGTGCTTGTTCTAACTCTACATTTTCCCAATACAACTTGTATTTTTTACTACTTTGCACTGATACTCCATGAGCTCGACTTTCTGTTTAGTGCTTTCTTTCCACTGTCAAAGAGTGCAGCTTTACACCCAAAGCTTGGCCTACTTCAAAAGCAGCCTATGTCAGATTTAAACTTGCTGTGTTATGGTTTTGTCAGCTATGTGGTGGCAACTACTTTTTGTTGGGTTGTTGTAGGTTTTTTCGGGCTGTATGGCCATGTTCTAGAGGCATTCCCTCCTGACGTTTCGCCTGCAAATATAGCAAGCATCCTCAGAGGTAGTGAGGTCTGTTGGAACTAGGAAAAGAGGTTTATATATCTGTGGAATGACCAGGGTGGGACAAAGGACTCTTGTCTGTTGGAGCTAGGTGTGAATGTTTCAACTGACCACCTTGATTAGCATTTGATGACCTGGCAGTTGTTTGGTGTGGCTTGTTAGGGCCTGGGGCAATCTTTTGTTGAGAGGTGATTAGATGTCCCTGATTGTGAGGTTATTAGATATCCCAGAGAGGAAACAATAAGGGAAATCGAATCACCTCTCAACAAAAGATTGCCCCAGGCACTAACAAGCCACACCAAAAAAAACTGCCAGGTCATCAAATGCTAATCAAGGTGGCACACCTAGCTCCAACAGACAAGAGTTCTTTGTCCCACCCTGGTCATTCCACAGATATATAAACCCAATTTTCCTAGTTCCAACAGACCTCACTACCTCTAAGGATGCTTGCCATAGATGCAGGCAAAACGTCAGGAGAGAATGCCTCTAGAACATGGATATATAGCCGAAAAAACCTACAACAACCCAGTGATTCCGGCCATGAAAGCCTTCGACAATACTTTTTGTTGTTGTTCAAAATGCTAATCCTGCCTTAAAACTTGCATTTTCAGCAACACTAATGATCAATCATGATGGCATGAACATAACAAAAGCAAGGAAGAATCACAAGCTAGAGGACTGGAATTAGCTAAGACAACTCTCAGACATTATCAGTAGCCACAGATCCCATGGAGAAACATATTTGACACCACATCATCCACATTCTAGTAGATCTGTTGTCCTTTCAAAAGGATCACAACAAATTGCTACTCCAAAGACGTGAAATGAGACACAACACTGGTTACAGAATCTCAAAGAGTATGGAGGATGTACACATACAAACGTGAGTAGGATATGTGAAAATAGGGAGATTTAGAAATAAACTCTCTCCCGTTGATAGTGTAAAAAACAGAGCAAATGAAAAAGAACAGTACAAAGAGACTCAAGGCACATGAAGTGTTATTCAAAGCAGTAGATTATATTTTAAAGCAATAAATTTAGATCATAGTAAGCAAAGTTAGTTTCACTGAGAATAGGTTGTTAGCCCCTACAACAACTGAATCTGTGGGACATACATAAGTATTTACTAGTTGGAAATGACAAACTTATATTACTGTACATAAAATAGCAAAAACTAATGCTTATTGGGCTCCTGTGAGTTTTACAAGCTGTATGACCACATTCCAGAAGCATTCTCTCCTGACGTTTCTCCCACATCTATAGCAGGCATCCTCAGAGGTTGTGAGGTCTGTTGAAAACAATGCAAGTGGGGTTTTTATATATCTGTGGAATAATGTCGAGGGTGGGAGAAAGAGCTCTTGTCTGTTTGAGGCAAGTGTGAATGTTGCAATTTGCTACTTTGATTAGCATCGAATAGCCTTGCAGCTGCAAAGCTTGGCTGCTTCCTGTCTGGGGGGAATCCTTTGTTGGGAGGTGTAAGCTAGCCCTGGTTTCAACGTTCACACTTACCTCAACCAGACAAGAGTTGTTTCTCACACCTTGGACATTCCATAGATATATAAATTCCACTTTCCCAGGATCCCCCAGGCAGCAACCAGTCAGACCTTGAAACTGCAAGGCCATTAAATGCTAGTCAAGGTGGCCATTTGCAACATTCACACCTGCCTCAAACAGACAAGAATTTTTATTCCCACCCTCCCACCCTTGGCATTCCACAGATATATAAATCCCACTTCCCCAGTTTCCAACAGACCTCACAATCTCTGAGGATGCCTGCCATAGATGTGGGTGAAACATCAGGAGAGAATGCTTCTGGAACATGGCCATACAGCCTGGAAAATTCACAGCAACCCAGTGGTTCCGGCCATGAAAGCCTTCGACAATTAATGCTATGCTGCCAAGCCCAGTAAAATATATTTCTATTTCCTGTGCATATCCAGAAGCAGAGCCTATTCAGTTCAATGGGATTTACACACAAGTAAGTGCAGATACAATTGCAGTCTTGTGTTCTGGCACTCACAGCATCAGATACCAGTGTGCCACTATGGGATTTACCAATCAGCACAGTATTTCCTAAGGAAACGGACATATTAGAAGTTTCTCATATCTGAAGACATAGAGGACTTAAATTTCCTTCTCCAAGTTGCAAACTGGCA